AGCAATTGCACGCTCTTGTAGTAAATTGTTCCTGAGCGGTTCAGTTCTGCAGCTCTTATTATCTTCTCCAACATCAGATTAAAGAAGTCACATGAAAGGGAGTCGCCCTGTCTGAAACCCCGTTTTATGGCGAACGGCTCGGAGACGTCTTTCCAAATTCTGACGGAGCTGGTGGTATTGATCAACGTCATTTTACACAGCCGTATGAGTTTTGAGGGGATGCCAAATTCAGACATAGCGGCGTATAGGCAACTCCTTTTAGTGCTGTCAAAAGCGGCTTTAAAGTCGACAAATAGGTGGTGAGTGTCGATCCTTTTCTCGCGGGTCTTTTCCAAGATTTGGCGTATTGTGAATACCTGGTCTATGGTGGATTTGCCAGGTCTAAAGCCACACTGATAAGGCCCAATCAGTTCATTGACGGTGGGCTTCAGTCTTTCACACAATACGCTCGATAAGACCTTGTAACCTATGCTTAGAAGGCTGATCCCGCGGTAGTTGGCGCGAATGGCGGGGGGCTTGAATAGCTCAGCTGGCAAGCTGTCAATTCCAGCAGCTTTGTTTGTTTTCAGCCTCGTTATTGCTATATGTACCTCGTCATAGTCAGGCGGTGGAACGTCGACTCCGTCATCATCGACTGCGGGCTCGGGTTCTTCTTCTCCACAACTTTCCGTGCTGCTACCATTTAGTAGGGCGGAAAAGTGTTCCCTACATAATTTAAGTACGCTCTGGACATCAGTTACTAGGTCGCCATTATTGTTCTAACAGGAGTACGACCCGGCCTGGTAAAATTTTCGGGCATTCTTCCTGTCGGCTAGCTTTTCAAGCTCTTCGCACTCACGTATTTCGGCCCCTCTCTTCTTATTGCGGCAAATACGTCTCGCTTCCCTCTTCATATCCCTATAGCGGTCCCACATAGCGCGCGTTGCGCCCGATCGCAGCGTGGCCCTGTAGGCGGCATCTTTTTTCTCTGCAGCTTCCTGACACTCCTCATCGTACCAGTTGTTCTTTCGGGCTCGCTGAAATCCGACTACTTTTTCGGCGGCGGCACTTAGTGAGCGGGAAATGTGGTTCCACTGCTCGCATATGTCGGTTTGTTGAAGAGTGCTCTCTGAGAGCAGGTGTGAGAGTCGAGTAGCGAAAGCGCTGGCTGTCTGTTGTGATTGCAGCTTTTCGACGTTAAGCTTTCCTTGCATATTTGGGCGCACATTTTTTGCTGCACAGAGGCGGGTGCGTATCTTGGCTGCAACAAGATAGTGGTCCGAGTCGATGCTTGGGCCTCGGAGTGTGCGTACGTCTAAAACACTGGAAGCGTGCCTTCCGTCTATCACAACATGATCGATTTGGTTTCTCGTTTTTCGATCCGGAGACAGCCAGGTAGCTTGATGGATCTTTTTATGCTTGAACCTAGTACTGCATACTACCATGTTTCGGGCCCCGGCGAAGTCGATCAGCCTCAATCCGTTGTCGGACGTTTCGTCGTGGAGGCTGAATTTTCCGACGGTGGTTCCAAAGATCCCTTCCTTGCCCACCCTAGCATTGAAGTCGCCAAGCACGATTTTGATATCATGACGGGGGCAGCGCTCGTACGTGCGCTCCAAGCGCTCATAGAAGAGATCCTTGGATGCCTCATCCTTCTCTTCCGTCGGGGCATGGGCGCAGATGAGCGAGATGTTGAAGAATCTCGCTTTGATGCGGATTGTGGCTAGACGCTCGTCCACCGGGGTGAACGACAGTACTCGGCGACGGAGTCTCTCTCCCACCACAAATCCAACTCCGAATTTGCGCTCCTTTACATGGCAGCTGTAGTAGACGTCGCAAGGCCCCAGACATTGTTTGCCTTGCCCCGTCCAACGCATTTCTTGGATGGCGGTGATGTCAGCTTTTGTCCTTACGAGGACATCAACCAGCCGGGCAGAGGCACCTTCCCCATTAAGGGTCCGGACATTCCAGGTGCATGCCCTCAAATCGTAGTCCTTTAAACATTTGCCGTGGTCGTCATCATAAGGGGGTGTCTCATCCGAGGCTTTGCCTTGATTCTTCGCTGGAAGTGGTTTTTACGTGGCGGGTCCCAAACCCAGCGCACAACCCATTGCTGGGACGGGGGTGGTTTCGCAACCAAATACACGTTTATATAGCGAGCCGCTTGCTCCAAGCAGACACCCGCTTGCAGCCGCACCTACTGGTGAACAGACGCTGCAGACTTCAGTGAGCCCTTAAACCGAATAAGTCGGAGTGGCCCCACCGAAGCTCCCTCTCTTTCTGCCGTGACCCAAGGCTCCACTCGGATTGGTTACCGCATCTCGCACATGGGTTGCTCACGTTGCCCAGAGTGCGCGAACGAGGACGCAAGAGTCGGGATTGAGTATAGCCATGCAACTGTAACTGCATACCCAGCGCAACGACTATACCCCATTGCACTCCACATATACCACAGCACTTAAAATACTTGGAGGGTGAGCTCTTCGTTTTGAGTGAGTAGTTTCATAACGGTTAAAAATATATCTTCATGGGCACGTCGAATTCACTGAAAGAATTAGGGAGATCGCAGTGTTGGGTGATGGATGTTGCGTTTTACGTAGTACCTACAATTTTCCGACAGCTTTTCATCATTCAAGGGTTAATTAGTAGCAATTTGTACCTCTAGTTTTTTGCCTTATGAGCAAAAAATCTAAGCAGGCATACACTGAGCTCTTCCACCAATTGTTTCATTTGGCTCTAGCACAAAATATTAATTTAAATCTACAAAGAGTAATTACGGATTTTGTGCAAACCATCTCGTCTGTGGCAAAAGAGTTTTTTCCTGATGTCCAGTATAAAGGATGTTTATTCCATTTCGGCCAGATCATTTGGAGACTAGTTCAAAAAGAAAGACTTGAAGTACAAAGTCGGACGGACCTAAATATAACCCAAAATTTGGGTGTGTTGCGGATTCATTTAAAGACAATTTTCCGCGCACTCAAAACTGTATTGAAGCTTGGCTCAAAATAATTGTAGGAAAAAAAATGTGGTGTATGTGAAATTATAAAACATTTAAGGAAAGAGATGATTGAAGTACACATAAACATTGAAAAGATACAATCAGGCATAAGTATAAGAAAAAATAAAAAAAAAATTTTGAGCGTGTCAAGAAAATTAAGAAAGTTGTTGAACATCGTGCGGATTTAGATAAAATAACTTATCTGAGATCTATATTCCACAATATTTCTTTTTACTATTAAATTTATATTTGTCCTTTCATCTTTGGTCTTAAACTAATTTGGTAAAGAAATATGAACTTATGTGATGTAATTTATTTTCATAAATTTAGATTTACCTAAATGTATATCGTCGTTTAAATTACAAAACCGCGTATCGGCATTCTCCAAAACCGCGTAACTGACATTTGCTGCCAAAAATTGGATGTGCTTGTGTGAGAAAATCCAATTTTTGGCAACACGTATGACACACAAATATTTGTGAAATTATAAAACTTATTTTGAGTAGGTACTAATTTGAAAAACAATGAATTTTGTATTTATTTAAGCTCATGTAAAATATATTCATAAGTTATTGCGACGTATTGAATTTTCTTCAATTTTCATTTACCTAATAAATATTTGCGCATTAATCACACAATTTGTTTTGAATTTATTTGTGAGAAATAATGTCGAATATAGAGTCCTCAATCGCCGCGATTTTAAACCTAATTTGAATGTATTTCACACAGAAAATGGGGATTTTGCGTTTGGATATTTTTATTTTGGGGATTTTGATTGTGGGGATTGCGATTTTGGCGATTTTGATTTGGGAATTATGTGGTACACCCACGCCGAAGATATCGTCATTCTGCAAACGATACTCGTATCAGTACTCATTGTGTATTCCGTATTAAGTTAAATTTATTTTTTTAAATCACAAGTTAATTATCCTCTGGGAATCCTAACCTCCGAATAATAAAATTTAATAATGTAGGAACTGAAAATAAATAAAACTCCGTTACATAGCAGAACTATATGTTTAATGATGAATGATATTTACACAGATACATATACATTGGAAAAGATTACATTTAAATCTTACTTAAGAAAACATTTATTAATAAAATATTGCGGCGAAAAGTCATCTTTTGTTGTACTTGCCAAGAATAGAAGTTTTTCCAAATGTTTGCCAGCCAACCGATTTCTTGACGTGGTTATTGTTGCTCCTGCTTTCGAAAACAATCGTTCGCAAGGAACAGATTTTGCAACTATATGTAAATATGGTCGTGCTTGTTTATACAACAAAGGAAACGCAGTTTTCAGCTCCTCCCATTCTACTAATAGGTTCGACTTCAGGGAGGATACTGGGAAGGATAAAAAAGGAAACGCATTTTTTATTTTCAAAAAAAATTGGATGTTTTCAATTTTTTTATTTTAGTTACATGTTATGATGCAGCTAAAAATTTTGGCTTTACTCAGCTATTATTGGGGAATATTCCCTTAATTACATACCTGTCTTGGACAGTTAGAGTTTGCCTAGTGCCCGAAAATATGCTTTCGAAGAGATACTGCTATATTAACACACTGTTCCAGCCGAAAGCCTCTGCTGCTAGCGCTGCTTTTTCATAGGTTGTATAATAATTGTTATTATTATATAAGCTTTCTTAAATAAATAAATAAAAATAACACACTGTTCCTGAATTAGTTAAAATTTCACTAAAACGTGCGAAAAAATTAAAAATGCAATTTTGTTCGTTATCACCAACGTAACCGAAATCCATTTTCACTAAAATCGTATCAGCTTTTTTTCTTGCTATTTGTAAATAAAACTCAACTTGCCTATAAACACTTTCAGTCCCGGATTGTATTACACAATTACTTATTAAATCAGAACGTACTGAGACGCTAGCAATATTTATTAAAAATAAATCAAAACAAGAAATACATTACATACATACATACATTTTCTGCAAAAGAATTATGTGGTAACGAGCCAAGGGCTGTTCAGATAGTTACTTATAACTGTTATCTTAATTATATCTAACGAATTAATATAAAATATGAGAACAAAAGTTTGTTCCGAAATTTTTATAATTTTGCAATTCTTGAATGTCAATATTTCGCAAAACAAGGCTGATACGATTTTAGTGAAAATGGATTTTGGTTACGTAGGTGATAACGAACAAAGTTGCATTTTCAATTTTTGTCGTACGTTTTAGTGAACTTTTAACTAATTCAGGAACAGTGTTCTAAAAAAAATCACTAAAATTAAAACGTTCATACTGAAAGTTTTAAGCATTGTCCTGAGTTGAAACATGTTACTAGTGGATTTCTGTGTACGAATCTGACGCCAGCAGATTTTCAATATTCAAAGTGGCGCATCCAAATCCAATCACTTTTTTTAATTAATCGCCGAATTAGATTTGCCATTTTTAATTTTGAAAATGTGACATGAGATTCGTAATCACCGACCCCAGAAACACCCTGGTAACGAGTTTTAACCCATGATAATGCTTACTTAAAACGTTCAGTATTAACGTTTTAATTTTAGTAATTTTTAAGGAATTGATCGCCATATTCGAATTAAAAAAAAATTACTTCAGATTTGTAATAAGCGACCCCAAAAACTATCGAGTTTCGAACAAATCCACTCTTTTTTTTAATTGTTCGCCATATTGGTACCGCCATTTTGAGTTTTGAGAAACAGACATCAGATGCGTAATCAGCGACCCCAGATACCCCCTCTTAACGAGTTTGAACCCATGACAATGCTTAAAACGCTTAGTTTCAACGTTTTAATTTTAGCAGTCTCTTTTCGAAAGCATATTTTCGGGCACTAGTCCCATTCCAAATGTCCAAGACAGGTATGTAATTAAGGGAATATTCACCAATAATACCTGAGTGATTACATGTAAAAACCCCATTTTTAGCTGCCCTATAACATGTCACGAAAATAATAAAATTGAAAACATCAGCGCTTTTATAAAAAACCAGCTAGCGCGACCTCCAAAAAATTATAATTTTTTAAATAAAATAATGCGTGTCTCTTATTTTCTCACAAATTACAATATTTTGATGTAGCGTTTATGAATTTCCAAAAATAGTGTTTTTTGAACCACTCTAATATCCGTATACATTTTCTACAGACTAGAATCGAAGGTAGCGTTTTAATTTTCTGGGCTTGGGATACGTTTAATATGTGTTTGTGTTTTCTAAGTATTTTTTATTTATTTTGAGTCTACTCTTTTCCTTTATTACTTTTCAACAATTTTTATTGAGCTTGAGGCCGTTTTTAACGAAAACTATTGTGGAAAAGCAACAACAATTTGAAAAAATGGTAGAAGTGATAGCGATTTCGGAAATCACCACATTTGCTCATCAGACTTCTTCAGCGGGATTCGAACCGACGACCCCAGCTGACTCAGCCAGTTGCCACAATAGTTTTTTATTAAAAACGGCCTCAAGCTCAATAAATTTGTTGAATATAATTGTTATCAGACCATAAATAACTAAAACAAATTTATTACTTTTCTTCAAAAACATAGTTATTTGCCCCTACCTTTAGTATTGCCCGCTAATATTTACAGCGTTAAGAATAATAGAGTTACTCAGTGATTTTTACATCGCATTAAAATGTCTGTACTGAACCAGTAGTGCGATTCCGTAACTCTTAACGATGCATTTGTCGAGTTGTTAATTAAAGATTTTTGTCGTTGTCAATAACGATTATGCGATTCACTAGCTTATTCCTAACGACAGTGAACAGCTGATTTTTTCCATTAATTCAAATTGATAAAAAGTAGCATCTCCGCTGTTCGAAATGTCAACTTTGCGAAAAGCAGAAGCGGAACAGAAAAAAGCAAAGCCATTTCTTCGCGCCGCTAATTTGCGTCCACATATTGCAGCAAAGGGAAGTATATTTTGCTATTTATTTAATTAATATGTATAAGAATTTACTTTGTTCTTATTTATAATTTCAGAATGGCCTCTACCAGTGGAGCAGGAGCTAAAAGGAGACGGGCATCAGCGGAGCAGGTCAACGTGATGATCGACCTTCTCAGGGAGAACGAAGGGCTTGCGTCCGGAAAGTTCCAGCGTCTCCACGGAAAGCTGAAGGACCAAAATAAGTGGGCAGAAATGGCACAAAAGCTCAAGGCAATAGGAGGAGCTGTAAAGTCTGTGGAACAATGGCATTCGGTAAGTACTTATCTTGTGTTTTAAGTGTGTCTATATAGGATGCAGTTTTCTAGAGTGCGATAAAAAAACAATTAGTATATATATATATGTGCATACGTGAAGTAATTTTTTAATTAAAATGTGCAAATGAAGAATCAGGTTGTTGGTTAATTCGGAAAAGTAATTTTTAGTGTTCAAATTCATTTTTAACATATTGGGTACGGTTTAGTTATTTGTGCAACGACTTTGGGTTGCTGTGCCCAAACGTGTGACCCGAATCAAAAAACGTTTCCACACACTTATAGACAAGAGTATACACTTTATTTAAGCAAAAGGTTTACCATAGCTGTGCATTCATTTATTTATAATTTTGGTTTGAAATATGGTTTTGCAATCAGCTCCCAAGGGGTCTTTTCATAAAGTGCGGTCCATCCTCTTTCTTTTAAGGGAGGTTTGGGGGCCGCGCCAACTCCCCCTCCGCTCTCTACCCCAAAATCGTTGTACAAATAACTTAACATTTCCCCCGGGACTTTTGTTTAATTTTGTTTGAGCTTCCTGTGCACATTTATTTTCTTGGTCATTCATAAATATGCTGTAAGGCTTTTTATATGTACTACATATTGGTTAAGTATGTATTTCATTACTTTGCAAACAGGTCTGGCGCAACTTAAAAAGCCGTACAAGCGTACGTGTACGTGACCGGAAGAGGCAGCAGGCTCTAACAGGCAACATGCCCATCGATCAGCCACCTTTAACGGAGATGGAGAGGGTCACGAAGCGGTTCCTGACAATGTGCCATTGGAAGAGGTGGGCTATAGTTATACAATTATTTCTATTATTATTTACTACGTTCTTAATTTACTTTTAAACTATTAGGAGCTTTAACTGGTCATGTAGGATGGGGAGGATATTGTCTTCCATGCGGTGACGCCAGCGTCAGTGTTTGGAGCTGACAGCGAGGTGCAGGTCAGCACACCTAAAACTCCTGCGCAAACACCGCGTAGGGCTTTGAAGAGGAAGCGGGTGGAGGAAGAGAGCGATGTCCAGAAAAAATTTCTCGAAATCGCTGAGAAGCAACAGATGCCTTGAATGTGAGAAATAATTACACAAGTTTACAGAAATTAAAAATAAAAATTTCAACTTCTGGCATTTGACCATAAATTCATATGTAAAACTTTTCGCTGAACCCGAATATTAAGGCAAAATAATACAAGTATGTATAACAGATTTTCCATATAGCCAATTTTTTTTTTTTTGAGATCTGAATAAGGTTCTTATACGTTTTTGCAATTTGAATTGTCTTTAAATTTAGTAAAGTCTATAAATTTGCGATTGTCTATAATATTACCTAAATTTAAAAGAGATTACAGATTGATTAGATCCAAAAAAATGGAATAACTTGAGAGAACTTTTTTCAGATCCCAAAAACTGTTCTTATATTATTTTGCCTTAATATTTGGGTTCAGCGGAAAGTTTTACATATGAAACTATGGTCAAATGCCACAGGTCGGATTTATTGTCGACATGTATTAGATACTAAGCCCTATCGCGAATTTAACGTGAACAAATATTCCCAAAAATTGTAAAGCAAAACAAAAACAATTTTTTCCAATTTGTTTTTGTTTTGCATATTAAATAATGGACACAATTTTTTCACATGAAATAGGCGATAGGGCTGATTATATTTTAAAAACATCGTGTTAATATATACTTTTTATCAGTTGATGCTGGCTGAAAACAATTCAAGGCAAACGGATGTTTTGAAGGTGAGAAGTAATTATTATTAGATATGGTTTACATAAATCGTATTAATATATACTTTTTCTCAATATATGCTGGCTGAAAATACCGCAAGGCAGACGGAGGCGACGCGTGCAATGGCGCAGTCTATGACCGTCCTTAGCGTAGGGATGAAAGCCTGTGCCGAGGGTTTTAACCGACTCGCGAGTACTCTCGGCAACTCGTAAATACTATTAAGTTTAGGTTTTAAGAAATGTTAATAGTAGTTTTAAGTTAAGTTTTACTTAACACTTAACAGCAAAAGTCTGCGTACACCATTTATTTTTTAAGTATTCGCAATATTTTGCAAGCTAAAATTCGTTTGCTATTTTTTTTAATAAAAATATGGATCATCCTTAAAACAAATTAAAATTCTACGATTTTTAATCGACACTTTCAACTTTTTAATCAGATTTTATAAAATAACTTCAAGTACGCAGTTTTATAGCGCATTAATTTAAAAATCAACGCGATTTCGTAGCAACCTCATTTTTACACATTGTTATACTAAAATTTAAGTGTTCATTAAAAATCGTTGAATTTTCCTTAATTTTGTATACAACTTGAAATCTTGCTTTGTATGATTTTGTTTTAAGGATGATCCATATTTTTATACAATAAAAATAACAAACGAATTTTAGCTTGCAAAATATTGCGAATATTGAAAAAAATGGATGGTGTATGCAGACTTTTGCTGTTAAGTGTACATATCATACAAGAGTTAATTTTATAGTTTTTCTTTTAATTTTCAAAATGAATTACTTATTTTTTCAATTGGATCTCCAGCCGCTGGATGAGCTCCATTGCAGTCTCTGGGCCCACACTATATAGCTTCCGGAACTCGGAAGGCGCCAGCTCAAATGGATCGTGAATGTCCCGGAGCATACACCGATCCATGTTGGGGTATTTCTGACTCCATAGTATCGGTTTAAACTATACGCCACATATTCAAACGCCATTTCTTTTATATAAATTCACTTTGGATTTACTTGCGCGCAAATTCGTTTGGTTAACGCAAACTTAACAACACCAAATGAGATGTCGATAACTTAATCATAAACGAATTGTTAACGAAACAGCTGATTTTGACTTAGCGAATATCGATAAGAAAGTACTTATTGAATAGCAAAATCTTTAAAATTATTGTTTAGCTAAATTAGCCACTGCGAATGTCGTTAAAAAAGTTACCGAATCGCACTACAGAGAACTTAGATGGATAGAGAAGGTGCAAACTGAAAGTGGAAACTATTCGCAGACGAAAAATTAGCCCTGTTCGCGTACGCACTATCCAGTAAATCCAGTACTAATTTTACTGGTTTTTTACTGGATGTCGTTTTCGTACGCAAAGACTTGCAAGAAACTAGCAAAAGAGGGGAGATCGAGAGAGCAAAAATAACAGCTGAACTTGCAAGTTTCACTGGATTTTTACTGGATAAATTTTTACTAGCAACTATTTGCTAGTAAGAAAAACAGCTGATGGCATGATGCTTAATGTAATTCACATTAACAAAATAATTGTTTGTGGTGCTTTTAGAGTTGCAATTGACAAAATAAACCCATTTAAATATATAATAAGATGGAAAATGCTAGTTTTCTAAGAAAATTACATCGGAAAATAACAAATTAATCAGCTGTTCATAAAACTAGCAACTTCTTGCTGGGTTTGCGTTTTCGTACTTTCTTGCATATTTCACTTATTGGGAGTAAATATTGACTTACTCTCCGAAATTTGGTTACTGGCAAGTTACTGGATATTTTTTGCTGGAGAATACGAAAACACAGCTATTTATTGGCGGGAAAATAGTCCTGCAGCGCTGTATGTGTGCCTAATTGCCCAGTAGAAATCGGCTGTATGCATTCTTGAAGGAAGCTTGCTATATGAGTGAATTTGTGTGAACAATTCATGCGTAGTCATGAATTTCCACGAATAAATTCAAATTCTAGCGAATTGCAAGCGAATGTACGTTGTCGTCTTGTACAAAATTTTTAGTGAACGGACGTGTTGTGCGACACTATTTTCAGCACAAACGGGCTTTTACAAGATATGCATTTGCATATGNGTGTGCCTAATTGCCCAGTAGAAATCGGCTGTATGCATTCTTGAAGGAAGCTTGCTATATGAGTGAATTTGTGTGAACAATTCATGCGTAGTCATGAATTTCCACGAATAAATTCAAATTCTAGCGAATTGCAAGCGAATGTACGTTNAAACGTGACGTGACGTGGCGTCACGTGACATAAATTTCCATCGTTATATTTTTGTTAAAATTGCTTTTAAATGAATTTTCAACGCAAATAAAATATGTATTTTATGTAGAATATACTTTATATTTTGACTTCAGCGCCAATTCAGGGTCAAGTTATTAGAAATCTATGATTTATTATGTTTCAACCACATACGCCAAATTCGAACGAAATCAGACCATAAATACGGTTTTTCGAAATATCTCAACCTTGGCGCCACCTACGAAGACCATTTTACTCGAACATGATTCTACTTACACAGCCAATATATATTTTAAAAAGCAGACAAATCGGCCCGTAAATACGTTAGATATAAGACTTTTATTTTTTTTTGTCGTGGTGGACTTTCCGATGGAAACACCCATATGTAAGTGCTACTTGTTTGTATGTCCCCGTATATTAAAATGTATCAGAAAAGTAGCATTTACATAAGGGGATCTTGTAAGAATGCTTTAGTACTGTTCCATTAATGCATTTTTGCATAGCCATATGCATACAGCAGTAGCACAAGTGTATGATTAAGGTACGCATACGCTCTGAGAAACCACGCGTGTTAAATGGAAATGAAGGTTCATTTATACTGGCATGTATACACAGCAGTAAGCTCATGCCACCAACAGCGATGTTGTATGCTTAAGATTTCTACTGGGTGTATGCGCTTACATATATATATATATATATGTGTGTGTGTGCACTTACACAATAGGGTGGTTCACCCTTTCAAAGTTTGGTTTAGGCTAGTGGCCTAAACAAAACGGCCTAAATACCTTAACTCGCTTAAAAAATATAACAAAATGGGCACAGAAATAAAATATAAAATCATTAAATTATTTTTCATATTTGTATAAAAACGTGGGGGAAACCCGCGGGTATAAGCTAGTATGACATAAAGTAAGAATTATTTCGACTTCCATGCATGCATTTATTTTAACCAATTAATAATTTTTATTAACCAATTTAAAGAACAATAAAAGGGTTGTAAAAACGTAAAAAGCCGTCAGCATTTCGCTGTCTAACACGAAAAACATGCATTTGCTTTGATGAGACAATTTCTGTTAAATTTATTTTGCCTCTGGCTGGGCTCTGTTAAAATTCGTTTGTCTCTGGCTGGCCGCTCTTAAAATGCGCCTCGCCAGTTTGTTGGTATTTGACAATTTCCACGCTGATTCGTTCTTGGACCTTCTCTATAAATTTACGTTCTCTGCAATTCAGTCAACCATTCACAATAGTACAAATTTTTATCGATCAAGTTACACAATAGCAAAATATAAGATGTTCGACTCGATCGACAAATTTCTATTCTACTGCCAGTCGACACTCGCAATACTGCCCTAAGTTATTCTCTCACAAGTGCCAAAAATGTGTCAAGGCGTGCCAAAACTGCCCAGAGCGTGAGGAACGCAAAAACCACATTTCGTGCCCGGCATCAACAAATCAGCTCTAAACGATGATTTTATGTGTATTTATCTTATATGGCTAGTAAAATTAGCAAATACCTACATTAGTGCTATTTTCCATTTTTGCATTTTACAAAGTCTGCTTTCCGATGTAAGCAAAAACAGCTGTTATTTGAAAATTGACATTAACTTTATTAATTGGTAACAGAATTTTTGTTACCAACGCAGAATAGGCCTGGTAAAGGCAAATAAAGTATTGCGTATTGTTTTTGCTGTTAGTTTCATTTTTCGTTTCATCGAGTTTCAAATCACTCCCACCGCTGAAGTTTTCACTTCAAAAAGGTTCAATTGATGAATAATGAAACTAGCCCTTTTCTTAGCTCTAAAATTGTTTATTTAGCCTGGTGATTTGCAGAGCCTTTTCTACAAATTTGAATGTCCTAAAAACCCAGATTATTTATTGAAATTTAATTGCAATAGCACGACTACTCGCAATGAAGGTCAAATTCGAAATGAATCTAAGTAGCTGTTCTTTTGCATTTCTTACCCCGTGATGCCAGACATTATCTTTTAAAAGTCCCACGAAAATCGGGAAATAACCTTCAATTACCCACATCATAAAAATTTATCTCACAAAATTCCCAAAGAATTGAAAACATATACCTATTTCAGTAGTAAAGAAGTAACATTCATATAAAATAATAATACACCTATGTTAGTGTTTGGCCGAACTTCTCCTCCGATTTGTGGCGTGCCGCTTGATGTTGTCACACAAAGCGGAGGCACCCACACAAGGCGAATTTATACAAGGTGGTGTTGATGGCGAAGTTAGATTTTCGCCGCGGTACTTCCTAATGTCAAAATGATGTGTTTGTTGTAACCAAGGCGAATTCATTTTACAACAAACATATCATTTTGACATTAAGAAGTACCGCGGCGAAAATCTAAATTCGCCATCAACACCACCTTGTATAAATTCGCCTTGCACCTACAGTTTATGCCGACTCCGAACGGCGAGTGTATTTTTATGCGAAGCTGTTTGTCATGGCATATACTCGGAGGTTTGCCATTGCCTGCCGAGGGGCGACCGCCGTTAAGGGCTTGAACCCAGGACCTGCGGAGTGGAAGCGCGCACTGCTTCTCATTACACCGGACATATAATATTCTTTCGAAATTCAAAGGTAGGTAGATTACTCACTAAGGGCCTAAAATAATTTAAAAACATCTACTACATTCATAAATTAGCTTCACTGTTTATTAAAATCCAAGATTTTGAAGAAACTTGTTTCTGTATTAAGGTAACTAGCATACATATATTTGTGTTTTTTATTGTTGTATACTTACTGGCAATTCTTAAAACTATAACTTTTACAAAATATTTGCATTGTGTAAGCGAATATGATTTTTTGGTGACTTTAAAATTGAAGCACATATGTACATATGCTATTTAACATTTAATCGGATAATTTGTTTAAGTTTTACATGAAACACCAGTTTCAATTAAAAAGATTCTTTTTTACTCAGCGCTTGGACTGGGTAATGTGAGAAAATTTTGAAAATTGTTCTTATACTTTTTAATAATTATATATCAGCTGATGAATTTAGTTCTGTAGCTGAACAGTTTTAGATCTCGACACTTAACAAACTCCTGCCTATCGTGACTCGGCACAAAAATTTAAAATATTGGTTCCGTACGTCATGCGGACTGCGCCCCTCGTGCGGATGGGCGGGAATGGAGGGTAAAAACCGTAGGGATATTATTATTATTATTATTATTATTATCATTTCGCTCCATATCACATCTTCAGGATAATCGATAACTGTGTCAAAGAAAATCCCTTTTTTATTTGAAATGCCCCTTTTTCCCTTGTAATAATTTTTGTTGCAAAATATCCTTCAAATAGGGAAATTACCCACAATCTGGCATCACTCTTCTTACCTATGCCTATTTAAGTATGTATGTGAATATGTGTGCATGACGTGCATAAGTACGTACAGTGAAACCCGCTTAAGTGCCTAACCAGCTTAAGTAACCATCATTTTTGGGCACTGTATACATTTCAATGTAATCTGAAGAAAATCCCTCTTTTAAGTACCTCCCCGCTTATTTACCCAAAGCGCCTAAGTACCTAAATTTTTCGTAGCCCGTTTACCATTTTACTTATAATTTCCCCCTTTTAAGTGCTCCCACAACACGTTCGGCAAAAAATTCTAAAAAATCAACGGCAATTTTTAAGTGGCAAACAACATCTTTTTGAATTTGGTCCGAAATGACAGATATGTCCAACACTGTATGTATGTATAGATATGTATAATCAATGATTTTAAAAAATTGAATTAATTGTAAAAATTACATAACATTTCTTTATCGATTTTTTATAAAGTTTTTGTTTGTGTTTTAATAATGCTACGATCTTGGTTTTAAACTAAGTACACATCATTAGAGGTTCATGTTTTATTCAAGGACTTCCTTATGTAAGTGATCAAGAAGATTAACTACCTACATCAATAATTATGTTCGCTTAAGTACACACATCGAGGTACTTAAGCGGGTTCTTCGAGGTACCCAACAATTTCATTAACCACTGGAACGAAAAAAACTTGCTCCGCACAAATGGGTTAAAAGCAAACTTCAGTTGACATATTTACACGCTTACATGCAGACATATGTACATATGGACATGTGGTTGAATCTTTTTATGGTACTTAAGGTTTGCTTACGGGTGAAAAAAATTAAAAATCATCCGTGGATATATGTAAACATAAATTTATAAACTTTAAAGTATAGAAACTTTTAATATTCAAAAATAAATAAAATCATTTTTTTTGCATATATACAAATGGAGTTCAAGGCACATTGACCCACCTGTACAAAAATCGTGCCGCGTCATGGACAACAAATTTTACAATATCGGACCGAAAAATGTGCAAACGAGCTAGGTTGCCATTACATTTGTGAGCTTCCGATAAAACCACATATGTTTGTGATTTTAGGAGTTTTGATTTTACTAAAAAAAAAATAATGTATTTTCCTGCAGAAAACGTTCACTTTATTTAATGTTAATTAAAATTACACCTTAATATACTAGCTAATGATTGAAAAATTGGTATGGAACAGAGAAATAGATTGTTTTGCCAAAAATTACCAAAATTCGAGATAAGTTATTTTGCTGGATTATAGAGAAATAGTTGCCACTTTTCACTTGGCTGGCCGAGATTTCTTAAATTTTAGATTTTAGAATTTTTGCGTCGGACTGAAAAAGTTGCGCTTGAGGGTGATGAATTTGCGGGGAGATGTGCTGCGGTTGTTATGAACGAATTTATCTGGCCTTAAGAAATACGCGCATGCGTTTATGAATGAAATAGTTATTGTTGTATTTAAATATCCCATCAAGAACAGTGACGGTCACTTTCCTAGTGACGTTACCGTCACGCGTGCGCGCTAAGTTCGGCACGTTTTGCTATCATATTCTTAATAGTGAATCAAAAANCGAATTTATCTGGCCTTAAGAAATACGCGCATGCGTTTATGAATGAAATAGTTATTGTTGTATTTAAATATCCCATCAAGAACAGTGACGGTCACTTTCCTAGTGACGTTACCGTCACGCGTGCGCGCTAAGTTCGGCACGTTTTGCTATCATATTCTTAATAGTGAATCAAAAATGCTCCCAGAAGTTTTGTGTACGTGTGATTTTTCAAACCAAATAGTTTGCCTGCTGGCTCATATGTGAAAAGATTAGCTTGACTACTTACTCATATGCGAAAGATAGCCCGCACGAAAAAACAATAGATGGCACTCCCCTGCAAAAAATTGTGCGACTAATCTCTAAATAGAGTATTCCGAGATTACTCTCAATCGGGTACAATTGGGCATTAATTAGTCCCAACTAGTCTCATAAGGGTACTAATGGAGGTCAATTAGTCTCGACTATTCCCTTATGGGTATAATTGGAGATCAATTAGTCCCCAACTCATCTCTAACGGGTACTATTAATGATATGCACGCACTTAGTCAATCAAATTTCATGTGCGGCGTTGGCACACAGAGAGAGTATTAGCCTAACAAAACTGAGCACCCCGGTTCGAATCTCAGCTGGCGCAAATTTTTATTTTTATTTTTTTAAAAGTGAATAGTCGCTTTTTATACCCGTTCGAGTATAAAGGTGAACAATTAGTCTCTTCATAGGACATGCTCGAACAAAAGCGATCAGTTCATTCCATATAAAGAGATCAAAAGTTGTATTAGTCTCATGCTCCGTTGCGATTGCTCCCGGAGTCATCCCGGATTAGTCCCATTTTTTGCAGGGTCCAATCAAAAATTATTACAGGTGTTTAGGCCTTAAGCCTAAATATTTCCAAATATAATGCACCACCCTAATGTGTCATTCACATATGTGTACATTTATGCATGCATACTTGTACACATGTACGTATATTATATATTCGCGCCGTTAGTTTAAGTTTCCCGCCGGATAAAGTATCTTTCGTTGAATTTCCCCTCAACGTCCTTTCTTTGTCCGGCGGTTCGAACGAAAATCACGGCTTTAGATTTTTTCACTTTCACATCGGGAGACCAAGGAGAAAGAACTGCAGCTACCAGGCCACATTATTTTCAGGTAAAACCATTGTAAACCAATATATCTAAATCAAATCAAAATACTTGGACAATTAATAAAACCATTAAACTAAACCGAGTTTTATTTGTCTTTTTTTCCTATTATTTTCAAACCTCATTGTGACCATTTTGCGCACCACACTTGAGCCTCACTGCGTCACATTGACTTTTTTATTGGTCCTTAGGAGCCGTGAAACCAACATACAGTCCACATTAG